TGAAAATTGAAAATCAGACACAATTTGAGGAAAGACTAGTTTGGCTTTTAGAGTTTCTCCATACTTTCACTCCATCTCTCAACTTGACCTTTGGAAAACACACCATTCACTTTGTTCTCACTTCTATGTTAAAGTTTTAAAAGTTTTAGATTACACTTCCATCTATAGATAATAATAATATATACATAGACAAAATAGATTTTTATGCATATGTAATGTCTTTTTGTTCTTGACACAAACAGGAGCCACAGAGAAATGGAGAAGAGATTCAAGATTTGGACATATAGAGAAGGAGAAGCTCCTCTGTTTCACAAAGGTCCACTCAACAACATTTACGCCATTGAAGGACAATTCATGGACGAGATAGAGAACGGAAAAAGCCGTTTCGTGGCTGCTTCACCGGAGGAAGCCACCGTGTTCTACATTCCCGTAGGGATTGTCAATATCATACGCTTTGTCTATAGACCTTACACTAGCTATGCCCGCGACCGACTCCAAAACATTGTCAAAGATTACATCTCTCTCGTCTCTAACCGTTACCCTTACTGGAATCGCAGTCACGGTGCTGACCATTTCTTCCTCTCCTGTCACGATTGGGTGAGTCTCTGTTTAATTTTACACATTTCTTATTTCGCAAGTAAATAGTTTAAACCCTAGCCCTAAAGTTCTTTCTTTGTTCCTTGTTTTTCAAGGCACCTGATGTGTCAGCGGTGGATCCGGAACTATACAAGTATTTCATCAGAGCTCTTTGCAATGCCAATGCCTCGGAGGGATTCACACCAATGAGAGACGTCTCATTGCCTGAAATCAACATTCAATTCGCCCAATTAGGGTCAGTACACACCGGAGAACCGCCTCAAAACCGCAAAATCTTAGCATTCTTCGCGGGCGGTTCTCATGGAGAAGTACGGAAAATACTTTTCGAACACTGGAAAGAAAAAGACAAAGACGTCCTTGTCTACGAGTATCTCCCCAAAACCATGAACTACACAAAAATGATGGATCAGGCAAAGTTTTGTCTATGTCCGAGCGGTTGGGAAGTAGCTAGTCCAAGAATCGTGGAGTCTCTTTACTCCGGTTGCGTTCCGATCATCATCGCAGATGGTTACGTTCTTCCATTCAGCGACGTGTTGAATTGGAAGACTTTCTCGGTTCATATTCCGATATCGAAGATTCCGGAGATAAAGAAGATTCTAGAAGCGGTACCTGAAGAAGAGTACTTGAAGATGCAGAAGAGTGTTCTTGAGGTTCGAAAACACTTTGTCATAAACAGACCATCGAAGCCATACGATATGTTGCATATGATTATGCATTCTATTTGGTTACGGAGGCTTAATGTTCGAATCCCTCTTTCACAGTGAAAC